GCAACGCTACCACGCATGCTACACTACAGCTGGCCACAGTACTGTCGGCGCAACGGGCAGATTCCACAATGCCATCCATCAAACTAAATAAAATAAAATAAGACATTAATCAAGGATTGTTACCACAGTACTATTCCCTAAAGATAGTCGATTCAAACTTGCGATTTGAAAACTTATTTTGTTTCAGTTAAGGCTGCCGCACACTGGCCGAATTTTTGTCGTAGAAATGCAGATTTTTTTGTCGGGGTCAAATCGGGTTAAAATTTGTCGGGCCATTAGCTTGCCGCAATCTAGCCGATTTTTTTGAAGCGACTAACCGCGTTGAGGCTTGGGGCCGAGTCATCCAAAATCAAGATGGAGCCTATTCCACCGACGTGACTCTCTTGACATTTCCTAATTGGTTGAGGCGCGCGCAAGCCCCAACAAATTGTCTTGGTCCACCGCACACTAGCCGACAAGGCCCGACAAGACGTTTTGAGATCTAGAACTGTCAGATATCACCCGACAAGCTCCGATCTTGTCGCAGACTTGTCTGAATTTACCGCACACTAGCCGACAAGTGAAGATTTTTTGTCGGCCGACAAAAACTCGGCTAGTGTGCGGCGGCCTTTAGGCTTGCATTTATACCAAGAGGCCCATAAATATCGAAACTGTAAACTACTCAAATTTTAACCATTACGGTAGGCATTGTGGCTACTTTGGAACTGACTCATTGTGCAAATCTTAGGGAGCTTTCCATTCCAAAATTTCCATTGGCGACTTGAATGGAACAGCATTTCCCACAATTTCTGGAAAAGAGGATAACCTTGTGAAGTACTCGCAAATTTTGGAAATTTCTTACCTGGAAGTTTCGTTTTATTTGATTTTCTCCAGGATCCGGAATTTCCAGAATTTTTGGTTGAGTGGTTTGTATTTCGGAAATTCAACAATTCTCGGATTTTCCGGGAACTTGCTAAGAACATTTTCGAACGAGTTGTCTCTTTCTCGGAATTTTTGGTTGAATGAAAAGCACCCCTTGTTACAACCGGGGCACACTGTGCCGACTTCGCGGAAACTCTCGATTAAGTACCGGAGAGTCGCATTTTTTTTGTCCTAGCAACATTCCTGTTATTGAAATAAATTAACACGGACTATATTTCTTCTGTATCACACTTACAGTCGTAGTAAATCCAATTCTGATTTCTTCTGCTCTGTCGGGGAGTCTGGTGATGGAGGATTGTCCTTGTCAATAATCGTCGGACCTGCGGCATCCAATAGTCGCTGCGGACTGGAGAGAAACTGGAGACGAATTAAAAATGCAATTAACAACGTAGAAGTGAACCTTGAAAAATGGCTACTTCGGGAACAAAATTACTCAGTGTAGAGTGTAGTCTAATCAGTGTTGAGTGGCAGCCGTGAGGAGCACCGTTTTGTGGGTCATGAATGTAACCTAAACAACATTTTAACAATAAGAAAAGATACCACTTAGATGAACATTTTCTTCTGGAAAGAACCGTCTATTCACGTGAAATTTTAGACGCTCAAAGCGTTCCGAAGGAGAATACGTGTTTAGAATAAAACTAATGTGAACGCCTGGACTGAAATAAAGCTGCGTCATAACAGGATTTGTCTCAGTGAAGTCAATTTATCTTCCTATCAATTTTAAATTTCTCCGTACTGTTCTTAGCAAATCTAACATGCAAGTAGTGAGAATAAACCACTTGATCAGCCAATCCACTGTACCTCTTTTAGCGCTTTCAATGCCTCCGCTCTCTGCTGCGCTGGAGGATACAAAATAATCCGATGGAACAGTGATTCTAAC